TTTTTTTTTTTTTGGGAGGAGGAGGATTTGTGGAGGTTGGCCAAGGACAGGGAGCTGTTGGCACAACATGCTGTCTCTCTTGCACTCTCTCACACTCGCAGACACGCACACACGTACACACAGTCTGGTGTGAAACTGTGGAAAGAAAGAGAGGGATTACGGGGAAGAAAAGCGAACAGCCCGTTTTCTCAGCCGTACTGTGACAGTAAGGTATTTGAAGAATGAGATTATTTCAGACGAGTGCGCGCGCGCACACACACACACGCACACACACACCCTGCGTGTACACACAGGCAAATGATTGTTTGCATATAACAAGAGTGGTGTGTCTGGAGAAATGGTTTAATCTTGTATTCAGAACAGCTCCTTCATCAAGTTTTTGGGTGCAGTCTTATCTGTTAAATTCTTATTTTTTTTATTTTATCAAAGCGTCTTAATTATTTTCTTCCTTGTTGTGCCTTGCAGCTTCATTATCAACTTCTGCTTTACATTCAGGTTGGTTCTTTAGACTGAATATTGATTTTTTAAACAAAGAAGAAATCGGCAGAGTTTTGACCCTAGATCATCAGATTTGAATTAAAGGGGGAAAAAAACAAAAAGAAACCCAAAGTTGTGTCCTCCAGCCTCTTTCATTTGGCAGATGACTGCCTTCATTTTTTTATTGTGTTACTGTACAAGTCTGATGGAGAAGTGAATCCGAACAGCTGCTCGCATACTTTTCCAAAAACTTTATGGTGATGGCTGGATCTTTTAGTGTGGGTATCTTTATTAGTTTGGGCTAGGTTAGGTGGGCGATGGAGTGACATTCCGCTGCGTTCCTGCACCACACGTGTGGGGAAAGAACAAACCCCTAAGTGCTGGAATTTTAATTCCCACTGTCATTATTAAACAAGCCGTCTGCATGTTTTGTAGAGGTGAAAGTTATTGTGAATATTACCAGAAGCAGTGATGGGAAAATGAATAAACTCTATTTAATTAAAAGTTTTTGTTGTGTGTTGCGTTAAAAGAAAAAGAAAAAAAGTATATTTTCTGCTTGCGACACCCTCTCAGTCCGTCCCCTCCTCTCATTCTTACCGTTTAGCCTCATGCCAGTTTTCCAGCCTGGTTTAGAACGACTTCCTGTTCTGCCCAAGAGATATGTCAGGAGTTAACGTCTGTTTAAACTAGACGTGTCCCATGTGGGCAGGCAGTCAGACGGAGAACTCTGCTCCACCACTGTCATTCAGCCCACGCTGGAAATGCCTTATGTAAACACCATCCACTTCATCCCTCCTTGAGAAAAGATCATTATTGATGTTTCACGAAAAGGAGGAAAGTTGAATTCACAGATTAGTGAGAAACATATGGGAGTTGGAAAGAGAGAGGCAGGCTGAGACAGACTTACTTTACCTTCTTTATACTGCCCTTTTTAAAAACAGGTAAGTGATTTATGATCCCCCCCCCCCCCAAAGAAAAAGACCCAGTCACCTCACTAAGTACACAAAGTGTACCAGAAGCCGGAAGCATTGCTATTCTCACTAGCCTACAGAGTTTTTAGATGTGAATCGGTTTATACTGATGGTGACGAGCACGTGCGGCTGTGAACTGAAAAGGAAAATAAAATTTGGAGCATAATGATAGTGAGAGAAAGTTCAAGTACATATTTGTGTCATTTGAAGCTGTTAAAAGAAACTGTTAATTCAGTGTAGAAGACTGCTGTCAAACACGTGGAATTCGAAAGGCACCTGTTTGGTATCAGAAATGTGAAACTCTGGAGGAGGGATTCGGACCTCTTGTTTGAACTCAAACAGTACATTTTTTAAACATCCTTTGGAGAAGGTAATTGGACAAATCTGAATGAAAGTGCTGACAAGGAATTAGGGTAATGTTCCGAGACATTGGGATAAAATATTAACTGACTACCAGCTTTTCCCCCCCCTCATACGTTCATAAACCGTTCATGTATCACTGGACGTATCCAGAAATACCATAAAAACAGAACAGCAACAAGCTAGTTAGTGAGGTGCATCTTTTGGTACTTTGATACTGGCAGCATGCCACTAATTCAAAAGTGAGCATGCAAAAATGTATTTATTGATCAGCAAATATTTAGTTGCCGCTTTCTCCTCCCTGCAATATATACAGTGGGTTTGTACTAAACCGAGCAGTGCTCATTTTAACGCACTTGGGAGTTTCATCTGCTGTTCTGAACATATTGTAAAGAAAACAGCCATTTCCAACACAGGATTTCTGCATCATGGGCCGCCTTCTGTGAGCTGTGGACACCCACTGTTCACTGCAGCCAACTTGCATATGGTCTCCATTGAAGGGTAGTGGTCAAGAATCCACTCCTAAGGAAACGGGGAGGAAAGGCAGTGGTATGTCCAGTGAGACAATTAGCGGGCTTAAAATCACTGGCGGCAGGTCTGATTGAGGGATGAATCCTATCCAGAGCCTGGACATCGTTGTTGAAGTAGCATGGGATCATATGAAAGACGACAAAACAAAAAGGCAACATCCCAGGAAAAGCTTAGGTATGTCCCTCAAGAGGAAAAGGGGAATCAGACTCTCTTAAAGAATAAATCTTATTTTTACGTTTGAATTGCAAGCTTGTCAGAGTTGTCAAAACTCAATCATTTCTACTTTTTTTTTAATCTAAATTTATGTTTTGGATATGTTGCTGTACGTGTTTAATATTTTGTGGAGAAAAATGAATTTGTCAAAGAAAAACAGTGGAACTACTTTTCCATACATTTGAATGAATGAGTGGATGTGTTCACGTTTTGACTGGTTGTGTATGTCGTTAGAGAATTTAGTAGTACTGATTAAATTATTTTGATACAATTTTGCCCCCCTAGAGAATTAAGGAGCTTAAATGACCACTTACCTTTACATTTTATATAGGAATTTATCCTTGAAATTTTTTTATATGAGAACATATTTCTTACAAGTGTCAGAATTGTTTGAGGGTAAGTATGCAAGTAGTTTTGTATATGCATGCTTTAAAACTATTCTTACTTTTTAAGGCAAGAATAAACTTTTAAAACAATTTGGAGATAATACCAAAACACTGAGGTGTTTTTTTTTTTAACTGGAAAGCCAGCTCAATTCTGATCATATTCCACTGACGAAAATGCGGGAGAATGATGTGCAGCGTTTTTTTTTTTTACTCTGGCTGCTCTTGGTCTCTGTGGCATACACACATGTAAATCTCCTGTCTTCCCTGCCCAAGCTCATATAACATCCTGTTCAATAGTCTTACACCACAACATTTACTTTTACGGTTCCCACTGCTCCGTTCCCTGGAGGCTCATCACATGCTGCAAAGCAGCTACACTCCTGCTCAGGGGCTCCGAGCTGAGAAGAGTTCAAGGAGGTGCAGCGTTTGGTTTTCATTGTTTTAGGAATCACAGCCCCACCGTGTGTAGTTCCTCCTGAATATTTCATGACACACACACACACACACACACACGCACCACAAAGATCAAAGCTAAATCAGCTGTCCTATTGTTACGGCTCCAAGGAGAGAACATATACATATTCGCCCTCCTCTGCGCCTCTCATTAGGCCAACGGCAAATGTAAACACAAGCTATTTTTTTTTCTATCATCACTATGTATATCTGCCATGGCGAACATTTGGAAAGTGTAGTAAAAAAAAAAAAAAGAAACTCAGAAATTGAATATTAATAAGCCTCAAACTTTTTCATAGTAGAGATTCCACAGAAAGACTTTATTTAAAGCTTTAAAGAGAGTGGCCACTGTTTCCAATAGAAACAGATCCTGTAATATTTGCCTGTGTTATGATCTGACTGGACATTTGGAGAGCATATGCATATGCTTTTGTTTACCTACATTATATAACATGGTGATTGTGTGTGCACGCCTGTGGTTAGCATCCATGTGACTGCGAGCTACCTGATACTTATCAGTAGGAGAACTCTTTGTACTGTGACCTGGCTAACTCGTTGCCTCTTTGGCGAGGTGACTTTGCATAATCATGAGACACGAGTAGTGAAAGCTGCAGACAGTCGGCATTGAAATCTTTTTTCTCTTTTTATGTGTCTGAATCACATGTGTTTCCTCCTCTCTCTGTTTTCTTTTTCTCCTTTTCCTTTGGGCTAGAAGCCAAACAAACACCACCCAAGCCACAGAACAAATCGTAATGAAGCCCATATTAGAATAAACATGAGGAGTATCATAAAACCAAACCACACTCAGCTGATAACATCTCAGTTTTGTAGTGCTTACTAGTTATCGCATAATGAGTTTGATAATCGTTTGTTGCCAGAGCAAAAAAATAAAGCTAGAAATCGGTATAAAGCACGTTATCGACTTTGGCGCCAAAAAACAGACGAAGCGCTCTCTTCTGGGAAAGTTTCGGTGTCCACTGATCTATCGACAATACATCAAACGAAATATTTGTATTAATCTATAGGTAAAATGGCCCCAAAGTGTAACCATTACCGCATTAGTGTCCCCAAGAATATAATTGTCTGCTATATTTTGTTCAGTTTAAACAACAATAAGTAATTACTTAACAGACAGAGGCTCAGCAGATTTAAGCAGCACTCTGGAACAGTGGAAAAAAAATAAGCTTGTTGCCAGGTATTATTATCCAGCATTATCCTGTTATCCACTTAAACAGACTCAGGGAAGGGTGGCTGTCTGCCTTGACCTGTCAGGATCAGGGCATGCAGTAATCCCAGTACCATGTTCCAGTTTAGTCGCCAGCTGTCAAACCAGCTCAGGGTGCTTTCTGAGCTCTCATAGTCTGAATGAAGATTAAACTGACGCTTTCTCTCTCCAAACAACCAAATTGTGGCAACAAAACCGTGCCTCAAGCTAAAAAATACAGTTTGTTCATTGTGTCATCTCCAAAAAAGCAAGGATGAGAATGGATTAATTGACTTTTTCCTCTGATGTACTTTCAATGTTCTAAAGAACACATTGATAGAATGACAGCAGCATTATGCTACAATAATGGAACACCAACACTCGCTGTTATGAAACACTTGTTGCATTTAAAGTTACATAACAGAGACGATTAGCTCAGTCCCCCGTGTTTAAAAGCCATTGTCCCCCTCCCTATCGTGTGTTTGTGTCTTTAACACTCCCTTGTCCTTTACAACTCGACTTGCCCAGCCCGTTTGTCCAGTGTCAGATATCTGCCTGATAGCGGGCCAAAATTGGCCTGAGATTCCCTCCATTTTGTGCTGACTTGAATTTATTAGACCTTTGGATTCATTCATTCTCCCACAGTAGCACTTTTTTTTTTTTTGGAGTTACAGCCAAAATTGGCCATTTGCAGACAAAAGTGGATCAGATCTGTGCCTTTGTGTAAAATTTGTAAACGCATGGTCTGCAGCGAAAATACTGCTAATCACTGATGGACAATTACAGGACCAGGATGGTGGCATAGATTTCAGTAGGAAACTCAAGTGTCCCTAAGGAGCCTTGGCATACACATAAGTACGCTTTTGCTTATGAGAGCCACAGCCAAAGGAGATGTGTGCACAGACCTGCTTGCATCACAAACCTTTTATGAATTCAAAACGAGAAGATACAGTAAAAGAGCCGAACATGGGAGAAAAGGCATGTAGCTGGAGTGGCAGAGTGATTGAACAGCAATGAAGCACGAGAACGAGTCAGTGATGGTCAGGAAAAAAGACGAGGAAGGATAAGAAGGGAGAAATCTGAATTTATTTCAAATGAGATAATACTGCATTAACTCCAAAGACAATTTATCAACAAATATTTACCATCAGTTTTTTTTTCTTTATTTAAACAGTAATCAAATACATTGATAATGATCTTTATTGTTTTTTGCCAGTCATTGTGCAGAATAACATATTTATTGGATCTTACTACTGATTTAGCTTGGAAAGCCACGATGAAACTGTACCAGCATTAACTAATTTCTACCTGATACATAATTCATAACCTGATTAAGCCTATTTTCAACATCATTTGACAACTTTTAAACTCTGTGTTTTGAGTTATTTTTGTCCTAGCATGACTGTTGGCAGCACAGACTATGTCTTCCTTGCGAGGACACATAATTAAACTGTTGCCACTGCTTTGTGATAAAGATCATAAGTGCTAAGTGCACAGGTGATGGCAGGAGGTGCACAATGATGAGGCGTTGACAACAAGAGCTACATAGTTTATTAAACATTGTGTTTGGGTTATTTTGTGTTCACGGTCCTTGACACACTTCGACTTGATCATACATTATGGACCACCTTATGTCGCTTTGTGTGTTTATCAGTTTAGTTTATTCCACCCCTTATGCTTGTATAATTTATACATACTTTTGTTGATGGGTGTTCAGATATGTATTGTGGCCCTGTATGAGTGCGTATATGAGCCTGTTGGAGTCTTTACTGCTTCCCAGTGGGTAAAGCAGAGTTCCTGACCCCATTTCCTGCAGTTGTTGACAGAGATATTGAAGCCCGAGGCCCTAGAGACTAGACACTGCATGGCGGAACTTCCTGTCACAGCTCTCTTTCATCACTTGATTTTTCATTGTTTTCAGTAGCGTTTCCCCCCCATTTGTATTAGTGGAACTGTGATTTGATCTGTCTTGACCATGAGGTCAGGACATGTCTGTAAGGGAGACGCTCAGAAACGAGGATGACTCCCAATAATTTCGGTTGCCATAGTCAGTCAAATGTCCACGTGCATGCAGCATTGCAGGAGCTATAATTTGTTATTCACACCATTATCGTTAGTATCCTTAAAACGAGTTCAACCACGGGAAAAGGTTTAGAGTATTAATTGTGAAATATGCATTTGAGCTCATAAAACTTTCTTTAGATAAAATATATCTCATATTACAATCGAGTATTAATAAAGTTAAGGTATGAATAAAAAGCAGCAGTCTTTCACAGTCCAAGTGGGCTCATCTGAGATAAGACAGCAAATTCAGACATGTTGAAAAGCGACAAGAGTAGAGAATAACACAAAATGATTAAAAGTGTGCAGAGTTGAGGCAATGGCAGATATCCGGTCACTAAGGACGTCAAAATTTTATAAGTGATTCCGTCATGTAAACCTCCATGTATTTTAAAAAAGACGACAGGGACAAACATCCGATTTGATTATTTCTCTAACATTTAACAGTTCAAATGTCTAATTCATGAACCAACACTCTGGTTTTAGCCGTTAAGGGCTGAGTAAGTTCTAAAAGAAATAGAGTTGAGTAGGGTGAATACAATTCGTGTTTCTATCTCTTTTGCCCGCCAAAAGAATAAACCTGTTCTACCCCTTGAGATTTCACCAATGTTTCTCTATGCGAAACCTCAGCTTTCTGTCATTTTGTCACTTGATTTTTATATTCATTAATTTATTTGCTCTTTCATTGTTCACTTATTTTACCTCATTGATCTTATAGCAGCAATCCAAGTTCTCCTTAGGGATAATTTAAACATCTCAGTTCCATTCAGTATATTTCTATCTGTTTTACAGGACATCACTTCTATGAGCTTATGATGAGTTATAACATTCATGTTCATCCAGAGTTAGTGATTTGAAAAACACGTTTTTTTTTAATTGATAATGAAACGGTGAGACAGCTGTTTAAAGTCCTCTCCAGTCTTCAGTCCATGTTAACCACTCCATGAAAATGGCATTTCCGGTTCCATTAACATCTTTTGCAATTTGATGCCAAGGAATCCTGACATTTTCATCATGGAATATGCTAGCAGCGAAGTAAAATTGTATTTATTGAACAACCTGTATGTGTAGTAATTTTCATGTAATCAACTCATTTGATATTTTTTTATGTAGCTGACGTGATATGTGACAAACCTAAAGAACAGGTTTGTACTGTTAGCACCTTTGATGGTGGGGGGGGCCGCTGACACTCTTATTTGATGCACCCTGAAAAAGGATGTTTTGGACAGTTCTTCCTTTAGGAGTTTTCTCCTAAAATTGCTTTGTAAGATAGATGCAAATCAACAACCAGAGCATCTGATACTCAGCATCCATTAAATGAAAATATCAATTTCATGTCCCCATCTGAACATTTTAATCCAAGCCTTACTTTTTGGGTTTGTTTTAGGGTGCAGTTTGAATATTAATTCTTTACTTGATACGGAGAGTTGGGAAGGTATCTGTTATATTCAGAGGAAATGAGCATTGACCACGCATCCATATTCTAGATTGTTTCCTAGTTGCAGGGTGTTGGAGTCTACCTCAGCTGTCCCAGGTGGCTAGGAACAGAGCATTGTTTTTGTTTTTGAAATTAGAACATGCTTTATGAGAAGAAAATACAATAACATGGTGCAGAATCCATCAAATGACGGAAGGACGAATGTATCTAGCCTTAAAAAATAACCACTCAACTGCCTACAGGTGTCAAGGGTGTTTTTGTTTTGTTGTCTCAAAACTGCATAATCACTCCTTTGTTTTTGTTTCAGGTCACTGCCCGAGTCAACAGGTGGCCTGTTCAAAAACAGGCAGGAGAAGGAGGGGGGTGGTCAGCCTCCTCGTCCCCAGCTCTACAGCTGCTATGACCTGGATGACCTCGACGTTGCCTGGCTACAGCTGGTCAATCAGGAGTTCAGACAGATGGGTGAGTGTTTACAACCTTAATGTGTAGTTTTACAACAAAAGAATATCATTTGTGTAAAATGACGGGGCGGAGCTTTGTGTCCTAATCGAAGATTGACCAATAACTGATGCCTGATGTTTGGAATTCTAGCGACAGTCACTCACAAGATCAAACACACAATTAGGCCAGACATTTAATTGGTTTACTAAAAGTCCATTTGTTCTCCGCTTTTCACTGTGGACTAGCACTGCAAAACATCAGATCGAAAATCTAATTCGGCATTGGTAGACATGATGCTATTCAAAGTGAATGAAAGGCCAGGGGTTGATGTCTGATATGAGACTAATGTATTTTGATTTGGCTTTGTTCAACACGTTGGACTATTTTGAATAATTCTCCCTCACATGTCAGGAATAATGCGGTTTTATTTGCCTCCAAATGATATTTGCTTTGCATAGTGAGCAGTCTCCTTTTGTATGATAAGAAAATATGTTCAAATTGAATTCTGTAAAAGGCATCATTCTTTTATGTTCAAAAGGTGGGTCTTGTGGTTGAGATTGTACTTAAGATATTTTGGCTTTTGCTGTAGGATATTATGTCCTGAGCTTGTCCAAAGGCCTGTCAGTTCTTCTGCTATGACCTTAACTTTGCCTTCACCTTTTCTCACTCTAATATCTCCCCTCTGCTTTTTCATGACCCTCTTCCTCAGTCTACCCTGTGTCTGTTCTTCTTTAGTTTTCCATCACTCCATCTCTCTCCTCCGATTTGCTACACTCTGAATTTCTCCATGGTGACAAATGCTGACCCCGAGCATCTCTCTCATCTCTGCTGTTTTATTCGATATCTCATCGGCCCCTTTCTTAGATAAAGCATAGTAATTGTATTTGGACATCCCCTCTGGGGTTTTGGGCCTTTCTTCTGGTACACATCCTCCTTAAATCACACACTCTCTTTCACACACACATGCAACCAAACCAGCTCTTCCTGAGGCAGGATAGAGTTGTTTCTCATAACCTTCTATCATAGATCAAACAAACAGAACGGAATATTTGATTAGTTCTGCTGGATGAGGCTTGTCTCATATTGAAGCCATTTAGCAATTTATGTCTCTTATATGTCAGTGATTTCTTCAAGTGTTTATTTCAGTTCTAGGAAGGAAATCTGAATTAATTAGTATTTGACGGCATTCATCTTGGAGTAAACCTGTTTTCATACAAGATCAAAAACAAGGAAGGAGATAAAGTCTATCAGTAGTTTTAGAGATAACAATGAGCATTGACGTTCAGGCCTCATAGCTTAACAGTGCATTAAAAATTTATATTAACTTATTGAAGCTCAAACCCATGGAAAATCTCAGCATGACGGTTATGGGAAAGAAAGGTGGAGAGAAGAGATTAGATAAATCAATGATAAGACTAAAAATCATCATAAATAAAACACATTTTGAACTGGCATTGTGTAACATTCATGGGGATGAATGGATTACTTTTCTCAGTGAAGAAGTTGAAGAGGGCTCTGGCTTTGGACACTGGTTTAATCTCCACATTGTTTAGAGAGTATGCAGTTTTGTCCATTATGTTTTGCCACTTATGCAGCTTTCTTCTTCGAACAATCGGCTCCACAGGCTCCAGATTAGTCTGTAGCACAGACCAAGCCTTTTTATTTTCTAATAATTTTGCTCAGTTTCTTTTGAGTCACTGGCTTTATTCTGTTTCCTGAACAGATGGTTACAAAGCAGGCCCCATGCTGCATCACATTTCTGTAGAATATATGCATCATGTTCTTGCAAACACTGACCTATGCCACCTAAACTAATAGTCTGCTCTGTCCCTTCTTGTAGATGGCTTTTGTGTTACATTTCCAGTCTAATCTTTTGTCCTCTACCTCTACTCTGATAATGGACGTGGCATTTTTAAACTCCTACTCATTGTTGGTTTAGTAGTCCACAAATGTGTGGACGTGCCTCATGTGGATTTCACTGGAGGGGGGGGGGGGGGGGGGGGGTGTGG